TCAGTGTTTCAGGCAGTTCAATATTTCAAGCAGTTCAGTGTTTTAGGCAGTTCAATGTTCAAACAGTTCAGTGTTTAGGCAGTTTAGTGTTTCGGGTAGTCAGTGTTTCAGGAAGATCCATGTTTCAGACAGTTTTGGGTCTCCAGCAGAAATGGTATTTGAGGATCTCATGTATGGTAAGAGTAACAAATTTCTGAGTAATGCTAAGTCACCCCGAGGGGTTCATCTATAATGATTTAGTATCAGTGGTCTATCGGGGATACAAACCATCTCAAGACAACCAATTTCAGACGGATTAGATGTGATCTTGTTGCCAGGAATTCATTCATCTGCAGAATTTAGGGTCTTATGAAGGATCATCACGGTTACCCTTGGGAAGACTAGGGTGTGCACAGGATTGTGACCATGTTATTTGAGTGGTTTGGCGTGTAAGGAATCGTAAGGAATGATTTCGAGGACAAGATCTAATTTAAGTGAGGGAGAGTTATAACACCCCGTTTATTAAATAAATAAATAGATAAAGTTGATGCATGGATAGTAGCCCTAAAATCCATAATTATATAATAAGAGTTGGTCTCGAGGAGTTAACTGTTAAAATATTTGAAGTCAGGGGCTACACGTGTAAGTTTTGTATTGGTTCTGTAAATATTATGAGGGCAGGGGCTACTTGGTAATCTATTGGGATTTAATTTGAAGAGATTTTGGAGGCTTAGGGACTAAATGGTAACATATAGAGTTAAGTTGTAAAGATTTTAGATGGCAGGGGTTATAAAGGTAAAATATTGATCTATTTTGAATTAAATTGGAGTTTGAGGGAGCATTTTGGTCATTATGGAAAAATTTTATAAAGGACTCGGGTATAGAAGGTTCCATAACCCTAAACCTAGTAAAGCCTTCCAGCCGTCATCTCCTTATGTCTCCCTAACCGACCGCTCTCACCCATTCAATCTCCGGCGTCGCACCACCACCTTCGTTGAGGTCCCCAACCGTTGGATGACGCCACAAAGCTCTTGTTGGAAGTATTGAGCCGCCGAGATCGAACCTCCAAACTGTGATCGAAGTCCACTGCCACTGCTCCTCCGTCTTGCCATCGTCGGTGTCGAGTCCGACCGTTACTTCCACTTCTACGATCTCTGGTGCCACCATCGTTGACAAGGATACAGGTCGACCATCGTCGCAGCTCCGAGCGACTGCCTCTTTGTGATTCGATTGCCGTCTGTCACTAGAATCACCGAGGTGCAGGGGTGACCCTACGTATATTCAAAGGGTGTCCAAGGACACCCCTTACTTTGAAATTTTATTTAGAGAATATATAAGATTTTTTTAGGACACCCTTGATTTTTTTAGAAGGACACCCATGAATTCTTTAACCAAACCAAATCAATAATTACATAATTGTAACATATTAGCATAAAATTTTATAAAATGGAAACAGTTAGAAAAAATAGGAAACGGAAAATAAGAGGAAATGAATAAGTAAAGAAATAAAAAATGATATGGAAGACGGGTAAAAGTTAAAAACTTGAAAAAAAAGCCATAAAACCCTAAGAAAAATTACATAATCTTTGCTCTTTGATCACTGTCGTCATGCTCTACCATCTTCGTCGTCGATCGTTGTTTTCTTGTTGCCGGTAGAATGGTCTGTTCTGTTGTCCATATCTGCCATTTGTTTCCCTTCCTGCTGTCATTTGTTGCCCCTCCGTGTCGTTTTATGCATATATCTGCTGTCATAGAGACCATATACATTGTTTGATGTCTCTATCGACATTTGCTACTCTCGTCTGGCGACCGAAAACCTTGATCGACCTGCTTTGGTGAACTTCTCCATCTCCTGTTGTGGCTTCCCCCTATTTATGTGAGTCCATATTCTCTTTCTCTCTCTCTCTTTTTTTACATTGTAAATTAAAACAAAGAAATTTGAAAAAGTTCAAAAGTCTAGCACTCCCTCTGCCTTCCTTGATTATTGTAGTACACGAAAAGTCTATGTCACACAATCACAGACAATTCCCCCAGGCCCTACCACTAGCAACATGGCTAGAAAACTTTTTTACCAATTTCCATTTTGTCAAATTACTAGGGTAAATCATATTTACTCTTTTGTCAAATTATTAGCATAAGTATTTGTTTCAAAATCTTTAAATGGGTAGTAAGGTTGTATTAGTATGTTATTAGTTGTTTAATTAGAGTTAGATTTAGGGTTTTATAGTTTTACTAGTGATGCTTTCAAATTAGTAAATGGATGGTAAAATTGTATTAATGTCGCCTTAATCGTTTAACTTATAGTTCAATGTAAAATTTGTAAGAGTTTTTGACCATTGTCTTTTATTTCAACAATAATGTTAAGGTTTTTTAAAAAGAAAAGCAAAACACAATATCTTTTTGTCTTGTGATCAAGAAAAAACACATAGGAACGATGAAAAACTATCCCCTTCAAAATATATATAGAAGTATATTTAACCTCTTAATCTTTAGTTTTAAAGTTTATTATATTTGTCTTGGATAGTTTATTAACAATCTGACCCGATTTTTTTTTTATTTTTTTTTTATTTTTTTTTTATCTTGGTGCTTTAGTTACCCAATCTGAGATGGACACCCATGAGTTTTAGTTCTAGATTCGCCACTGCCGAGGTGGGTGCATGCTTCATGTCGAACTCGTGTTTGTGTGGTTACTACTTCACTGTGAAGGGTCAAATGGATGCTCATTTGGCCAGCAAACCCTAGAAAAACCACCATGGCTGCCAACCATGGTGGTTGTCGCCGCTATTTCTTTTCTGCTACCCTTAACCATCGTCTATGGGTGGCTGGGAGTGTGTGTGTTGTGTGAGTAGGAGTATATTGTATGGGTTTGTGGGTATTATGTTGTATGTACGATTTATTTGGTCGGAATTTGCGAGATCAGCCATCACCACCACTGTGAGGTGGTGGCTGCCACCACCGGCCACCACAAGGGTGGTTGTATGTGCGATTATTTTCAATGTATGTGTTTAATTTTAATTATTTCATTGTAAAGTTGTAATAAAGGCTAGAATAATGAAAAGGAAACTCTTAACCACCACAGTAAGTTGGTGGCTGCCACCACCAGCCGCCTTGTTCGGTGGCGGTGTGCTTTGATTGCGTTTGGACCTCGTTTGTGATGCATGAAACCCTAATGGGCCCAATAAGGCCCTGATTGACCCAAAAATCCCAAACGTGTGACTAATAGGCCTAGTGAAACCCTAATGGGCTTAAGTATTTAGCTTTTGGGCCTAATTGAGTTGTGAGGGGTTAGAAGCCTTAATTTTGGATATATGGGCTTTGGATCAATCGGGACCCGCACTAGAATCGTTTATTAAATTAACACATAAATTAATAACCATTACCAATTAACCTAATGTCATGTGGGACTTAATGTATTAAGTCCTTAATGGGTTAAGTAGGGACACTTAACTCTAATTGTCATTTTATGTGAAACCCTCAATTTCACTTGGACTTTGAGTTGGGCCTTCTTATTGAGCCTTGGTGATTAGGATATTATTAGGCCATCCAAGGGTAAGCAAATGGACTTAGGGTAAAGCCCATGTAAGGAGATCAGGCCCAATTTGGAAAATTAGGCCATAGTTGGGCCATAGTTTGGGCCTTGATGATTACCAAATTTTGGGCCATCAGAATGTCAAGTGTGGGACCAAGAATAAATGGTTGGGCCTTAAGGCAAGCCCATGTAGAGGTTTGGGCCCAATTTGGAAAATTGGGCCATAATTGGTCCTTGGTTCATTATTAGAGTTTTGGGCCTTTTGATTGGGCCTTGAGCTTAAATGGGGTAAATCAGTCTTTTACCCCAAGCATAGACATATGCGTTAGAACCCAATTATTAATTGGGTGTTATTTTGATGATTGATAGATTTGGGAATCTGTCATCCACCAGCAAAGGTTTTGTCAGCGGGACTTTAGCAGTGTGAGGTGAGTTTTTCCTCTAATAGAAATGGATCTAAGGCACCAATGTCGACCCATTTAAGTAGTAGAGTATGCCGGGGTAAACCCGATGTCGGGGTTAGCCCGATGTAGTTATATGTTTCCGGACTTCGGTCTGATGCCGGGGCGATCCCGAGAAGTAGTTAAGTATGTGTGATGTCTTTGTGATTCATGCTTGTTATATGATATGTGTTATGTACTCCGAGCTTTAGTCTGATGTTGGGGTAAGCCCGATGTATGTTAGATATTATGCTATGTATTATGTGTTTCGGGGAAAGCCTGATGTATGCTAGTTTATATGTTATATGTTATATGTTACAGGCTTCGGTCCGATGTCTGGGCAAGCCTGATGCAGATTATGTGATTGTGTTATATGTTATATGTTTCGGGCTTCGGTCCGATGTCGAGGAAAGCTCGATGCTGTTTATGTGATTATGTAATGTGTTTATGATATATGTTGTGTTGTGTATGTGTTGGGGTAAGTCCGATGTCGGGGTGAGCCCGATACCCGATGCAGTCAGATGCCGGGGTGAGCCCGATGCCGAAAAGGAGTCCAATGCCAGGTAAGGCGATGTCGGGATTTGTCCCAATGCAGTTGAGAGAAGTCCCAGAGTTATTTTATTTGTTATATGCTAAGTGTATGATATGTGGTAGTTTGGGGGAGCTCACTAAAATTCATGCTTAGAATTTTCAGTTTTGGTTTCAGGTACTTTAGCTACCAAAGGGAAGGGCTCATGATGATCGCATGGCACACACGACAACTTTCTTAGCCTGTGATTTACTCTGATATTTTATATGAGATTGATTTGTTGACAGATTTTAAGAGATTTGAGATACATGTTTGATGATTTTATTTTATGATGATAATATTATGTTTGTTAAATGATTTTAAAAACGAAGTTTTTGGCTTGTATTTTTGGGATGTTTCAGAGGAAAAATTAGTCGAACGATGATTGAAAGAGAAGTGAAGGGAGTCACATTGCTATTTATAGGCTGGATTCATAGGGGTGTGATACCCCCTTGTAAAAGGTGTGTGTGCTATCCTATTCTACAAGGTGTACACGATACCTTTATTCGTTGTCTAACATGTGTCCTCTTCTCTCAGGTTCACGATAGCCCCTTCTCGAAGGTATGCGCGCCACGCAAATCAGGCTGAGCGCTCGCCGAAAACACTGATTTTTTTTATATTGTATAACTTTTTCATACGATCTCAATCTTCGATTTTCTTTATATCCATGCGTAGCTACCGACGTGTATTACAACTTTCCTTTAGGTTGTATTGTCATATCATGATTTTATTTTTAGCCCTTATTTTTATCAGCCAACATTATTTTATAAAAACTAGATCTCTTTCGTACGGACTCCGTTTTAAACATTTTTTGTCCCAAAGTTCTTATCTCGAAGAGTACTACGATTCCCCTTTTGGTGACTTTAGCTAAAGACCAACCATTCTCTTCATAGCTTTTTATGTTACAACTTTTCATGTGTGAATGATTTTTATGTGTTAGAAAAATCATATCAAATTCGTATGAAGTTATCTTTTTACGAAATTTGTATTTTTAGGATGGGGAAGACGTGTACTTTTAGAATACGTTACAATTTATTCAAAATAATATAACTTTTTGTCAACTTATTTTTATAGGTTACAGATGGTTTAGTTGATTTTTCTTATGTATCATAATACAAAATTTTGTACTTTTATATTAGAATTATAAATATTATATATCAACTCTATTATACTTGACGTTTGTCACTTTTAGTGGATAATGTTTATGATTTTGATTTTGTTTATGATTTTGTTACCACTCTAATGTTATTAGAAGTACTTTTGATATTATCTCTATTTTTGAAAGTAATGAATGAATGTTTTGATTAATTTGAAAACAAAATTTTATCTAATATATTTGGGACGTTACATCCACTATTCCAATATAAAAAGATATTGTTTCAAACCCTACATGTTAACCTTAATAGGGTCGTCGAACCACAATGATCCACCGCTGCTTACTAAAATTGTCTATGCTTCCCAGCCTCCATCTATGATTCTTAAAGATTTTTTTTTCCTGAAAGCATTTAAATACGAACGACTTAACACATTAAACCACTATTATTGAAAAAGTTACTAGACAAAAGACTTCACAAGATAAGAGATTCGCGAGAAAATTGTTAGTTCGTAGATGATCTTTTATATATATATATATATATATATATATATATATATATATATATATATATATATATATATACACGAACGACTTAACACATTAAACCACTATTATTGAAAAAGTTACTAGACAAAAGACTTCACAACATAAGAGATTCATATTAGTTCGTAAAAGATCTTTTATATATATATATATATATATATATATATATATATATATATATATATATATATATATATATATATATATATATATATATATATATATATATATATATATATATATATATATATATATATATATATATAAAGTTTTGTAGCAATAAATAAATGAGTTATTTATTAGAAAGTCAAGTCAAATAATTTTGCATTCAAACCTTTTAATTGCTTTGGTCCATATACTCTTAACTATATATATATATTATATATATATATATATATATATATATATATATATATATATATATATATATATATATATATATATATATATATATTATTAAAAAAAATATGTTATGAATAATTAAGTTATTTGTCTAGGATCCTCCACTCAT